TATATATATATATATATATATATATATATATATATATATATATATATATCCACGAGAAAGTCTCGTTTAATAAAATTCTGGAGTAAATTTAAATAACGCGTGTAATTTATTTGTACTGAAATGTACATGAATATTATGTTATTAAAATGTTACTAGACGCAATAGCCACTTCGTTAAATATTCTGTCAAACAAATGCTTTTATTAATTCTCGTGAAGTTTGAAAAGTGCGCGGACACAACAACGTTACTCTGAGAACCACTTTAATTACGCACGAAACAAAGTTGATAATAATTTTATTCGGAGATATTTCGCCGGCATCTGCGAGCTCAGAAATTTCTGTAATTCTGACAATAACATTTGCGGCCTCTTACGCCTCTGTAATTTAGGAGCACAAATAAACTCATTAAACGTATGCAACATCGTGCTACTTGAATGTCGAATAATTTATTGTGATGATAATCCGGGCGCCAATATGTCGCGTAATGAGTACCAAAGTTCAAATAAATCAAAGATATTGATGTATAAACTGGGCGAATTTATATATTAAAATTACTTCACGAGAATTAATTCCGCATGAGTGGATTCAGCATCAATTTCCAATATTAATTTTCAAATATTTTCATAATGTTACAGTTAAAAAAAAAAGAAATACGAAACCATATTCAGAAATATAATCTGGGGAAATAATTCTATCGGAATAAAGAAGAAAGATAGGAGGTTGAAGAATAAAATTATATAATTAATACATTTCATATCTCTCCTATGTATTCTTTCGCGGAATCGAATTCTTCAATTAAGGACATGTTTATTGGTTTTATTGAAAAACGATAACGACGATAGCACATGCTGATGCAATTAAGCATCATCCGATTGCTTAAAATATACAGAATTATTTTATATTACATTACATTACCGACATCTTCAACGCGCGAGGGGTTTTCTCGAGTACTAAAATAATACATTTATAGAATAATACATTTATAGAATTATACATTTATAGAATTTATTCTCTTTATTATTTTTCATGGATAACGTTTATTACAACATACTTCTTTTCCTGAATATAAACAGATGAACCGTCAGAATCGAACGAATTAAACAGACAATCTAGCACGTACGTTGATAAAGAAAGGAGACAAACATACGTCTAATCAAAATTAGACGTATGTTTGTCACGAAACCGGTTTATTTGGCCGCAACGTCGAGCGTATCGTTCCTGGTTAGGTTTCGACCGAGTTAATTGAAATCCTCGCGGCAGTCCGGGCGTTAATTGCCTAATCGAATCGCGAGAGAATCGCGCGACTCCGGACAGCGCGCGCGGGGCACGCCGTTTGAACCCGCGGCTTTCCCGCCACATTATCGACTAGTCGCGGCGCGCATGTGAACGCGCCGGTGAGCGGGCGGCTGCGCCGTGATTGGCGGACGGCGGCGTACCGGCCGACGCGCGCCGCCATCTTGCTTTCGTTGGCGAGCGAGCGACCCACCCAGCAGCGGCGGGCAGCAGTAGTTTGCGCTCTCGGTAGTATCACAACGGGTGTATCGCGCGCGCCGCATCGAAACCGCATTACGTACGTATACGACGTACGTAGTCGGCCGTCCCGTTTTGCTTCGGACTCGGACTTGGTTTACGACAGACGTCGCGCTGCCTTCGTCCGCTGGAAGAGAGAAAGAAGAGACAGAAAGAGGAAAGCAAGAGCCTTCGACGGAGAGTTCACGAGGTATCCCCGGAGCGGACATTCTCGACGAGAACGTGGGATCGTAGGTGGGCCGGGAAGAGGAAGAAGAGGATGAAGGGGATGCTGGCGTTGGCCGCACTGCTCGGCGTCCTATCGGTCTGCCGGGTGGAGGTAAGAATCCATCATTCTTTCGTCTCACGTATCTGTCTTCCTTTCTATCTCCCTTTCCCCTCTTCATTTTCCTCACATTCTTATAGTTTTTCTTTTTACCGGAGTTTTTTTTATAAATGATGGATTGGATAGTCGAAATGAACAGTGAGGGAGCTCGCTCGCTCGCGCGACGCTTTCACCCTTGAGCCAGGGAAATGTCAGGCGCAGCAAGGCGCTCTGACCGCGATCGATGTAGTGTGCCGCGAACTCCGCTTTTTCCTTTGCTCCGGAATCAACGTGCCGATACTTCGCCGCGATTCCGGCCAGTACGATGGCGGCTGTCAAACGGTCCGATCAATGACCGTGATGATGCCGCACGTACCGATCGCATCGCACCTACCTAATTTAATTCCGGGCCCTATTTCGTGGAATCACGAAACTCGTTATTATACGTCAGAATAACACGCGAAAATTTTTCTCGCTCCTCGATCTTTCAATTACGCTCGCGTATCAAAACTGACGTGAAGAAATAATGAATAAATTTAACATAAGAACGCAATGTAAGGAAATAATCGATAATTTCGGTGTTTATATTTGCAAACATTTGTTTTAATATTTTAATGCATTATACGAAGTAATTTAAAATCTGCAAACATGCGTGTTTTTCAAAAAAAAACGATCGAGGTCCGTTCAATAACGTTGACTGAATAATCGATTACATCAACGAGAGCGTGACTCTTTGTACATGAAATATATAATCTAAGATATAAATAATATAAATAATATAAATATTGAAAAGCGAACAGAGAAGCTAGGTCTTACGTGATCCTCGTTTCCCGAGGCGCAATTGTATCGAGCAATTATTTATAGCGACTGTAACGTCGGCAGCGCGATATAAAATGCTAGGCTACGCAGTTTCACGTTTACAGTTTGATCAAACCGTTTGTTTTCTATCCATCCCGTGTAATATCGCACAAGTCTCGTAGGTTTTTGAAAAACGGGGGTTTCGATGGCGCAAAGAGATGCACGCGCGACGCTCGTTGTTCAACGTCCATGGAAATTTTAACACGTCCGTGAATGTGTGTGGGTATTCCCAGCGTGGGTGGTGAAAAGACCGTGGGCCGCGTAAAGGAGCGACTTGTATTAGTCCTCGATACCAATCGATTTGACTCTCCATGTCGCATGTCTTTTTTTTTTTTGTTATTGTTATTTCCGGATGATTCATTCGAGATAGACATTCCAGCGAATTTTTGTCACAGATAAAAAATATGTTTCGGTTGTGAATCGCAGTATCGTATTTCATAAAAATCGCGTACTATGTTTGTGCGAGAGAGAGAGAGAGAGAGAGAGAGAGAGAGAGAGAGAGAGAGAGAGAGAATATGTGCCATAAATATCAAATCTCATTAAAGAGCATGGTTTGTTGTTTTTTGTGTATTCGACTTATTATGTGAAAGCAAATACGCTGCAATTGAGAGTTAATTGGCGCTCCTTTCCGTAAATACAATTAAAAATCGCGAAGAGGACATTCGTAATCTTGAATTAGCCTCGTCATTTCTCTCGCCGCGGCCGCAATTATTACGTCACGTAATACTTTTTTTTCTCTTTTGCGTCCCGCAGAGAAATCCAACTTATCAATGCAAGATTTACGTTTCTTCCCGATTTGCGATTTCCCGTCCGATTGACCGCCTCGCCGTGACAACGCATGTCTATTAATATCGCTCCATTAGCCTCGGTAATAATTAACAATGTGACTTCATGTAACAATAATGTACTTTTGAAAGCAGCCATTTCTGTGTAGCGCGCGATAAAACATACCAATAAACGGCAATATAACAAACAATTTGCATGTCGCGACTGTATCGCTGTCCCACCAATCGATCCCTTGTAATTCGAAAATGATCTGCACCCACGGACGCGGTCGTCGACCATTATGTCGGCGGCGAGAGGCGCGGGGAGAGGCGTTAATTGCGCGTCTAGCATAATGAAACCACGATTCGAAATGTGGAAGAATCGTTTTTAACTACACGCGCAACATTTGCCGTTTCCGCATGCAATCTGGGACTCGCCTATCTCGCGATTAACTGAACTTGGCAAAAATTTAGAGATTGCGTATAATTTCGAGAATGCGAGAATGTCTTAAAAATTATAGTACAGTGACATAATTATAGTAGTGACGTAATTTGAATTCGCGTTAATTTACATTCACGTAATGTTAGTGCATCGTAATGTTAGTTGCACCGTAAATTAGCGGGGGTACTTTAGGAAACCATATTAATTATGATCATCATGGAAGTTTAGGGTTAGTTCGTCACATCATCTAGAATTCAATGTAGGCGTTCAATAATGGTGATAATAATAATAATAATAATAATAATAATAATAATAATAATAATAATAATAATAATAATAATAATAATATGAATTAATAAGAGCGATATTGGCAATGTGAATGTTTAACTACGCAGTACAGTGAGATTTCCGATATTGATGCAAGTAACTAAAGTCCGCGAAAATTTAGGCTCGGCATCATAAATTAACGGAGGCATTCCGAAACTGGAAATTAATTCGTATTCACGGAAATTTGGGGTTTGTCACGCCGTATATATTACTGAAACGTGAATGTTCCGATGATGATATTAGCGATATTAACTCATGAAAATTTAGGATTGCGGCTATTGTCATTCGACGCGTACAATAAATAACTGCCGCTTTCGTGTATATGCAGAATCGATATTATCGATTTTCTTTATTTAATTACGAGTAAAATCTATTCTCTCGGCTTTATCGTTCCAGCTATGTCCAGTGTGATAGTTAATTTTTTCCGATATTTGAACGCTGCATCGCCATTTAAATCAGCTCCGTCCGATTTAAAAGCGTCATTTAAATCAGTCACGAGGCAAAAGTGATCATCATCGCATTAATATCTCGTTTATGTTTGGAAGTGTCACGCCCGTTTCACGCACGCGGTCATGCGTACATGCAACTTGTTATATTGACGCATACGCCATATCATCGTAAACTGGTCTTTTGTCGAAAAAAAAAAAAAACCGCGGTTAAAAGCATTCGATAATGATGCTTTCGGTAACATCCGTTTCTCTTCTGTTATTTTTTAATCTCGCTTCTCGTTGCATGGTTCTTTAAGCAGATGCACGATGATAACCTTTTTGAAATTTGGGGTTTTGAAATTGTGATGGCGTACCGTTCTTTTATATTCTTTTAAATTATCAATGGTTAAAACAGCAAAGATTGTTTTATTTAACGGTTTTAATCTGTTTTACTTTATTACGCAAGATATTTGTGAAAATTAGTGGATTGATATTTGAGTGATACAATTTTTAATTGACACAGAATAAATAATTTTTCTTAATAAAAGTTTGTTTAAAATTCTAAAATTTTTACGACTTTCATGGGTTTAATAATAGCTTTTTTTAGAAAAAAAAAAATAAACAAATATTGTTTTAAATTAGACATACATACGTAGTTATGAAAAATTCTGTAATATGTGTAATATGTGAGTTACTAGCGTAGATCGCAGATGGTAATTACGGTGTTTTTCGTTCCTGTATGCAAAATGATTTATGTTACATCATGTAAAAGAAGTTTTTCAAAAAAATATATTACAGTGGATAAACCGTGTGTCACATATTATTAGCATTTTAGTATCTTCTTTTAGTAATTTCGGAAGAACCTTATGAAAAAAAGATTTAATTTTATGTTATGAAGGTGATTTCCATAAAATGTAGATTAAATGAGGATAATATTATTTTTTTATTCCCTACATGATAAGAAATAACTCTTTTATTAACTGATTATTTAGTAACATCAATTAATGTTGAAAAAGATTGAGAAATATAATTTATTAAACGTTATGTCCGATTTTTCTGCCCCGATTATTATAGTTTGTATTTGCCTTAATTTATTATCGTGTCGAACAAATAAATTGGAAATTACTAATTTATATATATGTATATGTATATATACACTATTATGTTATGTAATTTTTCCTTTTGCCAATTGAAATGAATTTGTTTTGTATAATTTACCTTTACGTTTATATTACATTTATATTTCGTTATATTATGTGAGGTAATCTATTCTTTTAAACTAATCAAATTTCTCTGTTTTCTCATCTATGTGCACAAATTAATATGATATTCAATTTGTTTTTGTTCAATAACATAACATAACGTAGCGTGCAAAAGTGTCGTAGCAATTAATTTATACAATTCTGTCAGAATTCAATTTGATATCATGCTTGGATTTATTCACTTTAAATCTATTCTTGCAACATTTAGCGTCTAATTGCATGTGTAATTCTATCCTATAAAGCTGTGCTAAAAGAGAAATGTCAGAAACATCGTCCCTTTGCATTAGAGCCGACTTGTATTAGAGAGAAGACGAAATCTTCCAAGTAAAATCTTCAGGTTACTTTCAAGATAATAATTTGCATGAATATGAGGTTATGCAGAATATCTATAGAAACTGCATTTTAGATTCAAAAAATTGTTCTGCATCAAAACTGCTTTTTTAGACTCAAATGAAAAAATAGCAAAGAGAAAAACATATATTGATCAGACAAATATGAAATAACTCCGAATAACGCGTTCACAATATAAAATGTTTATATACTATTATAAGGAAAATAAAAATACTTAACATATATACTTTTTAATATATAATTTTTAACATATATAAAAATAAAACAGTATTTTAAAAAACATGATATAAATAGCAAATATATTTTAACTCTTATATCAAATATTTGTACAAG